ATCAGTGACAGACGTCCATGTCTTACCAGGGATGCGCCTCGCAAGGGGAAAGGGGGCTTCTGCTGAAAAGGTTTCTCGTTTGCAGAATTTATTGAGGGGGGGGAGATCGACTGTTCTTCTTGGGATACCATCGTATTTCCTTGTGACTACCATGCGGTGGCACCAAGTAACTGGCTCTCCGAAGGGGACCTTCTCTATTACCCCCAAAGCTTCATCCCGCACCAGGTCTTTATGGACCTGCTCTTGCCAGTGAAGGGGTATGGGTGCTGCAGTGTGGCAGGCTTTGGGTTTGGCAGTCTCCTCAACATGTATTTCTACAGGGGGTCCTGTCATGCAAGGCAAGGGCATGTGAGGGCATGTGTTGAAAGTGGACCTGCTGTACCTCTCCAGCAGCCAATCACGCATCTTCTCATTGTTCTCCGGTATAGGAGCAAAAGGCAGTGAAGTGGGTCTTTGGGGTATGGACTCTCGCTGAGGGCATTTGCAATTGTGCTCATTTTGTTCCTCACCAGTGCAACCAGAATTAATTGACCTAACATGTTGTTGATGCCCCTTCTTTTCTGGTTTGTTTGCCGTGGACCCAAAACATTTGTTCATGCATGCACCAATTGTAGGGAAAGATTTATCAATGATGCCTAAATCAAGCATAGTGTCATATGACAAGAAGAAATCATTCACACAGTCTGATATGTACACCAAGCATGTGCTAGCAATAATTTCACCATTGGGTGATTCACCCTTAACTAATGCATTAAAGGCTCCAACAATGTTTATGGGGGTTTTTATTGGCGGCCCTCATGTCCATATTCACAGGCAGAAGGTCAGATTTTGAAAAGCCACAGTCAGTGAAGTTCTTTAGGCCCCACAGGTTTGGCATGACCCCGCTGTCCACGATACCTCTCACAAGGGCTTCAGGCTGGTTTGTGTTCTTCTTGAGCCCGGCCATTGCGATGCAGAGCTCTGCACGAGGATGGCATGAGCTCCTAGACTTTTTTAGGTCACTTTTGGAGATCACTTCGCGATGCAGAGCCACCGCACCAATCTGGGACACAGCCGGCTCAGTCGACAAGGCGCTGAGAGATGTGGGCTCTTCTCTGCGACGACTAGCTCGCCAGCAATTGATGCATTTCGTGTGGGGTCTAGTGTTCCAGGAGCCGTTTGCCCTTTGCTTGAATACATTGAATTTCTTCCCGCAGTCAGGGCATGGCACCGGTTTGTTTGTGTCTGGAGAAGAAGGCCCCTTAGTGAGATCATTAGATCTGTTGGTATCTAGAGGAGAGGGGCCTCTTGGTGGGATCATTCTCATACGACTGTCTCTTCTTGAACGCTGAGAGTGTTGACATGGATGTGCTAAGCGTGGCATTTCTAGCCATCTCGCGGCCTTCAACGAAAGCGATGACGTCGTTGCCGCTTTTCTTCTGAATGTCCCTTGTACTAAGGGCCTCTCTGCGAATGTCGAGGTCTGCGATTCCTGCCAGGAGGACGTCCCTGACCGCCTCATTTGTGTAGTCGGCTTGGACAACTTCGTTGCATGTGCATTTGGCCATGGTTGTGAACATGCAGGTCTCGGTCTTGCCCTTTACCCTGGCAGCGAAAGAGCGAAATTGTTCGTCGGGTGCCTGGCGTAGCTGCATGAGTTCTGCCCTTCTCACACCAACGGCGACTGGTATCACAGCAAATTCCCGCATTATTGACTTGACCTCCTTGACTGATTTCGACTGGATGTTAGGGTCTGCCTTCCGTATCAGATCGCCCAAGGGTTCTGACGCACATTGGAACAGTTGCATTGAGGCAGTGGCCTCATTTATGCCCGATCCTATTTTGAAAGCCTCCCATCTCCTTACGAACCCGTTCCATACCTCCTCCTCTACCCCGAAGTCAATTTTGGGACGGTCGAGTTTTGGTTGAGGTGGTGCAGGAGGGTGGGCAGTTTGAGTGTGTGTTAGGGCATGTATATTGAGCAGTGCCGCCGCCACCGGGGCGTCTCCTTCACCGGTTTCATAGTTACAGCCTGGGAAAGGGTATATGACCATGTTGCCGAGTTGTGGGTTGAAGACTGGTGGGTTAGTTGTCCTGGGTGATCAATTGCTTTCAAACTTTCTCTTAAGGCTTACACCGTCATGAAGAACGCTAGTGTGGCTGCTCTCAAAGCGATGAAATCATCATGAAGAAAGACTTCTCAGTGTAGTTCATTATTATAAACGGTAGATGATGATTTCATCTGTGAACACGGATTAACAGGGACAATGAATAATACAGGCACAACATAACATGAAATAATATGGGGTACACCATATAACGTACAGAGAACATGAACTAATATCATATAACAAATAACCATACAACCTGCAGCTAGGGAAAAAAAGTGTCCTGGCCCAACCAATCATGTACGTTGCCGTTTCGGTTTCAACAGGCCGTCTTGACACGTGTCGAAACGCGTCATCCAAACTGGCTACAGTGGAGTCCACTTATAACGAGTCCTAAAATAACGAGAAGTCTGTTATAAAGACACTATTCTAAAAACCCGTTTTTTTCCTTCTTTATCTTTGTAAATAAAATACTGCTATGGCGCAATCAGACAAACACGCGAGTCGGTTATAGCGGAATATATTGCAGGTGTAGGGTGAGGGATTTGGGGTTGAGCAGAGTATGGGGGAGGGTGGAGAGGTATGGTGGGAGGGATTTGGGGTTGGGTATAGAGTTAACGGTAGGTGGGGAGGGGGGAGGTTGATTAGTGTACAGGGGCAAGTAATTTGTGAGGGGAAGGGGAGGGGTGAGGTTATGGAGCAGGATGTAAAGGGTTTATTTGTACGGGGTAAGGATTATATCACCCCCCCCTCTCTCTCTCTCTCTCTCTCTCTCTCTCTCTCTCTCTCTCTCTCTCTCTCTCTCTCTCTCTCTCTCTTGCCCTTTTTGACTCCCAGTGGAGCGTAGGCCATCAACAACCTTTCTCCAGCGAAGCCTGTCTTGTGCATCCTTTTCTTGCTGTTGCCATGATGTTCCCGCCTTTTCCATTTCCGTTTGTACCTCTCGCCTCCATGTCATCTTTGGACTTCCTTTCTTACGTTTTCCGAGTGGATTCCACGTCAAAGCCTGTCTGACGATGCTCGTCGGGGGTCTCCTCATGGTATGCCCCATCCATTTCCATTTCTTCACCTATAATTAATATGTCTTCCTTTACTGGCCTTTGGCTTGTTCTTTCCTATAGTTGAGCATTTGTGAATCGATCGTACCACTTGATCTCCACTATCCTTCTTTGACATCAATTTATGAAGCTCTGCAGTTTCCATGCTACTGATGCTGTGAGCCTCCATGTCTCTGAACCATACAGTAGAACAGTCTTCACGTTTGTTTTGAAGATCCTCAGCTTGGTGTTCAATCCCAATTACGTAGACATCCATTATATATTCCTGAGGATGATAAATGCTGCTCTTGCCTTTTTGATTCTGACCTTGATGTCTTCGTCTGTTCCCCTTGCCTTGTTGGTGACACTTCCTAGGTAGGTGAAGGATTCAACACCCGCCAATGGTTCCCCTTACAGAGTGTGATAGGAACGTTGGCTGCATTCATTCGAAGAACTTTCGTTTTATCCGTATGAATATGAAGTCCAACACTACAGGAGAAGGTCCTGAGGCGATCAGTCTTCTGTTGCATCTGGACTCGACTGTGAGAAAGAAGTGCCAAGTCGTCGGCAAAGTCCAAGTCTTCCAACTGACTGGAAAGGGACCACTGAATGCCACCGCGTTGTCACGATGTTGTCTGTCTCATTATCCAATCCATTGCTAATAAAAAGACAAAGGGCGATAGCAGGCATCCCTGTCTCACTCCTGTTTTCACTTCAAACGAATCTGCCCTCCAAGTAAGGCACTGCAGCTCATTCCTCCCATACATCTTCTTGATAAATCTCACGAACTTGTCAGGTATTCCGTAGAGGCGCATGAGCTTCGGCCATATTGAGTCTTTATCTAGGCTGTCAAAAGCTTTCTCTGATGCTTTTTAAACAAATATGTATGTAACACAGGAATTCGCTTTTAGTCCAACCAGAGAGCCCGAGACAGTCTCGGCCCGGGTAGTGAACGTGTTAAAATTAAGATCGAAAAGGGGGGTGGGGGGGGGGGGCAAAGCGTGTGGTGTTTTCAAGGACTGGCAAAGGGCTATAAAAAAAATACTATACTGAAACTGAAAGAAAAAAAATTCCCCATAACCCGACAGGGCTTTTAGGTAATGGACAGACACATTAGCGCTTAAACTACTCCAACCTCCAAATAATTAAATCCCCCCCCCAAAAAAAAACGTAATCCTTTGAGGCACAATCTTAAGCAGTTTCTTACCAAGAGAAAGATAACAAATTAATAATTATTGTCAACCGTCGACCAGATCAAATAATTATTTTGTGGTATCAAAACTTGACGATTCACCGTACTTCCGGTCTGGGGAAAGCAGTAAGTTCCCTTCCATAGTCGGCACAGTAAGACTGAGTTGGGAACCAGTTGTAGCTGTTTCAGCTACGTTCAAAAATTTTGTGCTTGGCAAGGGCTGAAGCAGCTTACTCACTGTGGCTTTGAATCGTCAGGAGAAGACAAACGCCGACAGAACACTATGAATCCACATTTTGAAATGATTGGCAAATCTTTTGCCGAACAGTATTATGCCTGCTTTGACAACAAAGATACGAGAGAGAAAGTCGCAGCCATGTACAGCGTGAGTTTTTGGCTCGAGTCTCGAGACCATGGCCATGGCTGCTTGGCTTGACTTGGTTGAGTTGATTCGTTCGTGAAATTATTCAGAAAAAAAAAACAAGATCACTGATCTGATTTCCTGTCCTAGTTACCTTTCGAAAGTTATTATTGTTTGATTATATTCTAGATCTAGATCTAGTTCGCTGTTGATTTCACCTCAGCACTGTGTGACTGTGTGTAAGCCAGATCTACACTGTGTTGTAGCGGTAGCCCGGTTTCTGTTTCTAAAAGTGACTATTCGGACTCGAGTCCGAATATGAAAAAATGTTATTCGGACTCTGATTCTTGTCCAGCATGACATCATTTCCGACTTCCTGTGACTCATGACTCCGGCTTCCTGTCCTGCCTCACTCGTCGCTCGTGACTCGCCTCAGGATGGGTAGAAGTAGAGACTGGGATCACTTCGGGCAAAATGGCGTTTTGTGCTGGAGCCGAGTTTTCATCTTTTGATGAATTTGAGGCCGGCCTGAAAAGTTATAGCGCTTCTAATAAATGTTAATTTGTCAAGAGGTCATCAGAAGCAATTAAAGATTGCTCGTTTAACGTTAGCGTGTGTCAGGGTCGGATGGGCGGCCTGCACACGTGTGGCTGTGTGTGCGTGTCGGGGGGGGGGGGCACTATCGGTCCGGGCATTGGACGTCGCATACGCGTCAGTCTTTTACCCCCCGGCAACTGATCATTATTACAATAATAAGCTAGTCTTGACGTAGATCTACGTAATGAATTGTGCGCTGGTCTGTGGAATCAAAAGTGGCCGTATGCTCGGCTCTACACAGCAACACAACTTTTTCTTGGTAAACAATCGCGATGATACAGGCTTGTGTATTTGAACGAATCGGATCTTTTTTTGGGGAGAGTGTATACAGACCCGGTAACCGGGAACAAAGTCACAAAGTATACACACCCGGTAGAGGAACTCTTTTGTGATTTAGGAAAGTTTCAGCGCCCTCTTGGCTCAGGGTAGACCCAGGTTCTTCTAGATCTATGGCCTAGGTCTAGATCTAGACCAAGGAGATTAAAAGTTCTACGCTTCTTGATCTAGACAGACAGACATAAATCATTGATCTAGTTACGAGGCTAGCCTAGATCTAGATCTAGATCTCTAAATGAAGATTGCGGATGTCTTTTCGATGAACGATTGTTTTTCCTCTATTTGGAGTTGGAGGAATCACAATGTGAAGAAAAGAAACAATGTCATAATTTCAATCGAGCAGTCACCCCCTCTCTCTCTCTCTCTCTCTCTCTCTCTCTCTCTCTCTCTCTCTCTCTCTCTTTCTCCCTCTCTCTCTCTCTCTCTCTCTCTCTCTCCACACTACCGGGTCTGGGCGCTGAAACTTTCCGAAATCACAAAAGAGTTCCCCTACCGGGTCTGTATACTTCGTGACTTGGTTCCCGGTTACCGGGTCTGTATACACTCCGGGTTTTTTTACACAGCTCATAATGTGCAGGTGCCAGGTGGTCTGCTATTCTTCAATTTTTCCTTTTTCTACAAAACAAAGAAAGTGGGAAACATGGGGGGTGGGCGGGGGGGCGTGTCAATGAGGCGGCGGGCATTGGATCGGCAGATAATAGGCTATAAGGTGTGGGGGAAACTTAAAAATGGCGGAAAATTGGAGGCACTGAACGTTAGATCTATAGAACGAAGACACTTCCTTTTTTCCGGACCCGAGTCCGAATAAAGACGGCCTTTCTGTTTCAATTTCAGTCCGAGGGAAGTTACAGATCTAGATCTAGTTATTGATTCTGGTTGATTTGATTAGATCTAGATTTAGAGAAGTATATGTATGACATTGGTTTGGAGTTTCACCCCTCACACACATCATACACACTCGAAGCTACAGAGAGCACCTAGCGCACCTCAGTGATTGGCCCTAATATAATATAGATCATGACGTACTTCCGCCATCGACTTTTGTCGTCTTCCGGGGTTTCCCTCGCCAGTTGACTAGATCTCCCATGGCAGGCCGCTTTGCCGCCTAGCGCGCGATGGGCTACGTCACTAGGTTTCATCGTCGACTACTTGGGCTGTGTGTGTGTGTGCGTGCGCTCTTGTGTGTGTGTGTACGCGAGATCTAGTCAACAGTTACTGGCGAGGGAAACCCAAGTGTCTTGGGGGAAACCCCAGAAGACGACAAAAATAGATGGCGGAAATACGTCATCTATATTTGGGCCTATGACTGAGGTGTGCTAGGTGCTCGCTGTAGTTCTTGTATCATACGCACACACACGCAGACTTACAGTCACATGCATAATTTAAATTAACTGTAATATAAAACTTAATAATTATTGACCCAAGCCCAGTCGTGCAATGAACTGCTGTGAATGCAACCAACTTGTGTTTCGCATGCTCATATATCACCTTATGTTGCAAGCGCCGTAGAACTCAGTGGCGTGGTCAGATATATGAAATCGCAGGGTCATACTAAAATACAAAAAAACACAAAAAAGACTCAAAAAGACATCTGATTTTGTTTCCCTTCAGACTTCAGACTCATTTTCAGGGTTACATTTATCCAAATTGGGGTAATCCTTTACCATCTACGGTGCCTACAAGTTTGCTTATATTCTGCCATGATGAACACAGGAGACTTCCGGATGAATACCAGATTGGCGCCTGATGTCCTTTCGATGTTTCATTTTCTTTTTTGTCGCCTTACAATTTATTTTTTTAAAAATATTATTAGTTATACATGTAATACTGTGATAGAGGACTTTCCTTACTTTATGGCGCTGGGTATCACTGTGACAAGTGGAAAATTACATTGTTAAACGCGTCTTGTGGGTTTTTTCTATGCAACTCTCTCCCCATGAATTCCTTTGTTTTTTTATAATAAGTGTTTTATGGCATTCACAACGGCATCATTAGGTCATGAGCGTGCGAGACAACCTCCCAATTAGGAGCGGTATCGTATCTTTTCACAGCGTCTTTTTGCATGTGTCTTTTCACATTTTAGTATGACCAGAAATGGCATGGTTGTTTATCCATGCCTTGTGTGAATTGTAGATTTAGGATAAAATTGCTTTCCAGTTTTCATCTCATTTTTGTTTGTTTCACCAACTCAAATGCCAGATGTGTCAGCTTTTTTAATTATGAGGGATGGATAGTGATCATATTATAAATTATAATTCTCTTCCCACTTATATTTCTCTGGAACTTGAACAAATTTTTCTCATCTGATCTGCAAGTCTGTATTAACATTGTTGACAATTCATAAGGTGCTCTTGTAGTTACTAATCATGTTAATTTAATTTTTTTCCCTTGCACGCTGCTTTTTGAGTGTTTAAGAGTTTCTTTCCTTTTCTTTAACCTTTCTGTCTGACTGTGGTTTTATTTTCAAGCTTTAACCCTCTTTACCCTTCATACTAAATGTTTTGGTCTCTTGGAAGGACCTACTACTTACTATAATTAATGTCTGGAGAATGGCATTGCGACTCTTACATTATTAAATTGATATTCACTCATTTATTACTTTTCAGCCGAATGAGGGAATGTTATCTTTCGAAGGTCAGCAGTTTCAAGGAGCTGCAGCAATTGGAGAAAAAATGAAGGTAAGAGGTTCCTTGTGATTTTTTAAAATAATCTGCTTTTTTTGTTGTTGTTTTGTTATAATTAGTTCTTAGACTGAACTCATTGTGAAAGTTTATATGATGGTGTATTACATTAATTACAACTTCTTCTTCAGATAAACTAGACTAGCTATTTTTATACAGCCTGTGCCAGCAGTGCGAAAATGCAGTAAACTTGCCGCAACCTCAGGTAAACCCAGAAACATGCTAATTTATCAAATTGCTTTTTTTGTGTAGGCCCTATGTATTGCCCATATATCAATATGCGTGGGAGAAATTGGCGCTTTCATTGAAGAAAAATATTTTCCGAAATCATCATTTACAGTCGAGATTTTATTTTTTTAATGTTCTGATATCTTCAGTGACAGTTGCATTTTCACCAAAGAAAGAAGATTTGTCAGTGACGTACCCGAAACCTGCCAAATGGCACTGTAAGTTTCGAACTCTCTTTATTCAAAGGGGCTGCAAAACATCTAAATATTACCCAAACACCCCCACATTTGGTAGCCAATGAGAAGAGAGATAAATTTTCACAACGTACGCTTCCATTAGAGAACTGAGCGAAAAATGAAGAACAAGTTATCAGGTGGTTGCTTTGTGGTTGTTGTTTTTGAAAAATGCACATCCAGTCACCATGCAGAATACACTTAATTGCAAACAGGTTTAACTTTGCAATAGAGAGCTATTTTGTGAAATTCAATCTGTAAAATGATTGCATTAAAAAAGTTATTGCTTAATGTTTTTTTGGGTCTGTCGCAAGCCAGAAAGCGAAAAACACAGCTTGCCACTAAATTCACTGTGACATCATGGCTGTGTAAAGCCAGACTGCTGATTGGACAGTTATTTTAATCAACATGAATACAGTGGAACTCGGATTCAACAAAGTAGTCCGGCTTGACCTTCAATTTCATTGAATCCGAGTGTTCGATATAGCATACATGAGGTTTTTTGTGGTTACAGGCACTGAGCAAATAATGTAAAAAGGGAAGTAACGAATGGTATGCTACCCTGAACTGCCTGCTTTTTGGACCATTTTTTTATTTCCTCAATCGATAGTAATTTGGTTTCAAATGAGAAGGATTTTCCATTTCTTTGATGCCATGCGGAAGAAATACTGGAAAATTTAGGAAAACACATTGAACTCTACCAAGCCCACGTTGTGCAAAAAGGCCGATTCAGTCAAATTCAAGCCTCTGTCATATATCATCTATGACGTATTGTTTGCCGAACAAATTGTGTTGCTGTGTAGAGCTCAGCATATATGGCAATGTTTGATTCCACAGACCAAAGTGCAATTCATTATGTAGATCAAAACTAGTTTATCATTGTAGCACATTGATCAGTATTCTGGGGAAAACACGACTGAGGTGTTTATATCTCTACTGGTGTTCCACACCCGGACCGCTTGTGCCCCCTCCCCCAAGATACTCATAGATCTATACACAGTCACACGTGTGCTGGCCACCCGTCTGACCTCCACACATGCTAAGATTCATACTCGTACCAACATTAGGTGTGTTGGTATGAAAGAAGGCCGCTGATTGGTCACATAAGATATCAATAGGGTAGGCGAATAATGGTTCACAATGCAGGTGCCATAAATGTGAGGCAGCGTGGTGGAATCAGGTTCTCGTCAATTTTTGGGCATGCAGAGTTATTGGTATCATTTTAATGCTTGTTCACTTGTCTTTATTTGGATGGAAAAAATCTATTTATCTTAAATACGAGTCGAGATATTTGCGAAAGAAGGAGGTGGTGGTCACCTGTTTTCAGAGGTAAAATTAGTGAGAAAATGACCTCCAAAGATTAGTTATTTCCTTAGCTTAAGAGTCTGTGGTAACTAAAAATGTACATTTTCTGTGCCTTTAATCAACGTTTTTCAGAAAAATTAACACAGAAATGAGTTCTTTAATGGACATGAAAGGTGTAGCGCCAAAAAACAAATATTTGATAAAAATTCACGAACTTGCGGAAAAATGCATGTTTCTTCACTTTGATTATTTTGACGAGAGCCTGATTCCACCACGCTGCCTCACAAATGGTTTCCAAGGATAGATTAAGTTTGTTTTGTTGGAGGAAAAAGAGCAAAACTACATCAGCGAGGACTGTTCACCCTGCAAGCAACTTCGTTGAATCTGAGCTTCTTCATTTTTGTGTTTGTTGAGTTATTTTTATTGGAAAAACGGGGAATCCACCTCCTTTCGTTAAATCCGAGCTCCACTGTACTAAGGAAATTGCCCATCGTACTCGTAATGATTTCTTTCAGTTTGCCTTCATTAATAATTGCGCTTAATTTCAGTTATAATTTAAAGCTGAGTAGAATTCAAGGTAATTGTTTATTGTATATTTTGTCCACCAAGCATTGACTGTGATTTTCGCAGAATCAGAATGAAGTCTAACTTAATGGTAGATTATATATGTACCTACTTCATAATGACAAAGAAGTAGAACACCCATTTATAATGTGATTTTAGTACACTCACCAGATTGCCATAAATGCAGTTCTGTGATCTTAAGTCACGTTTTCATAGTATGGAACTAGAATAAGAAGTAGCCTAATCCTCCTGACTTAAATAACAACATATAACTGAGCGTTTGATCTTGATTTAATTTGGAATATTGATCTTTATATCTTGTGCTATTTATAGGTTAGTAGTACCTAAAACTTTGGCTTTGTGAGATGAACTGTTGAACTGTTGTTACTTCAGTTTTGTTTTATTATTTATTGTGCCTTTGTTTTACATATATATATTCCATAATGAAGTCTTTCGATTTCTGATTCATCTCACACCTACCTCTTCACCCCACAGGGGAGTGGGGGTATAAATTATCCATTGTCTGACCAGCAGTGGAGCTCAAGTCCTCCCCTGGTTGGATGCAGAGTGTTGCTTATATTATGCTACTCTCTCTCTGTCATAGATAAGTACTGGGAGGGGGGGGGGGGTGTGTGTGGATTTTTTTTCCTTATCTGATACCATACTTAAATCGAGGCAAGCTAGAATCCCTTTTCATCTCCCTTTTCCGCCAGCCTGTAGCAAAAAATTGACCCTGAAAACCCCCATTGTAGGTTCCATCCTTGAAATCTTTGTTTTTAGTAGGTGGTAACTTTTAAATACTACCCCCCAGGAAGGGGCTACTGACTGTAGTGTTTTTAGGCCATTCTCAAAGGGGGGACAACAATGTTCTTATGCACAGTAAAATTGTACATGATGTAATTGTAAATAGGCTGATTTATCAATGTCATGCTTATAATTGTGCCTGAATTGCAACAGGGAACTGCTGCTTCTTCTTTCCTAATCCTTACTATCATCATCTTTCCTCTACTTCTTTTGTATGTTTGTCACACTCTTGTGACCCGCTATTTCCGGGGTGCCTTCATAGTCGAAGCAGACTTTGTTCTGTTGAAGCTAGAGAGGTGAGCAGAGTAAGTCTGATCCTCTTTAAGGACTTCTCTGTAGACATCCTCCCTTGGCGCTCATATGACCTTATGCAGTTGCGAGCACTGCAACACGTCTACTAAAACTAAACTAACTTTTAAATACATGATACAAGAATAGAATATACAGTCGAACCTTGTTGTAACTTATTAAGCTAATGTAGCTTTGCTCCGCTGTACTGCCAGCGAATTGGCCACCAGAGGTACATACTACACATGGGACATGGCATCCACACAGTGCCTGCTTGATAATCTTTCTGACACATGTCTCTGCAAGCTTGGCCTATTTCTAGGCATTTTCCAATTTTCTCTTGATTTGCGCTGATAATGAAATGCTATTATTGTAAGGCTTTTTGGCCAATTTTTTTTTTTTCAAATTGGAATGAAGTTTTAAAGTTGCCTAGAGAAACTTCTAAGGAGCTGCGCCAACTCAGCCTGAGAGCAAAATATCTGGTGTCACCAGGTATCAGCCCATTGACCTAGGGCGCCTGTGAGGCTTTTATATTGTGAGGATTCACACTCAAATCTACATGATAGGTCTAAGGTGGCCCAAAGACTGTATGTCTGCAGGGTCCTTGACACACATAGAGCCTAGCTTCTGATCCTAGCTTCTTTTAATTTGAATTTACTTAAAGTTTAGCTAGAGCTGTACATGTAATTGGTTGCTACTTTTTTTGTCCCCTGCACATGGCAATTGTGCAAGACAGAACTACATGATTCAAGACTGGTCACAATTTGTCTTTAGTCGCTAATCTCTACCTGTCTACCACTAATCAAGATTACCCCCCGGGGCAGTACCACTGACTGTAGTGTCTTTAGGCCATTCCCAAAGGGGGGACATTTCTCGTTCAAGCACAGTAGAATTGTAAATGGGCTGATTCATGTCACGCTCATAACTGTGCCTGATCTACAACAGGGAACTGCTGCTTTTTCTTTCTTAATCCTTACTATTATCATTTTCCTATACTTCTTTTGTATGTTTGTCACTCTCTTGTGACCTGCTATTTCCGGGGTGCCTTGATAGTCGAAGCAGACCCTGTGCTGTTTAAGGTAGAGAGGTGAACAGAATAAGTCTGATTCCCTGTAAAGACTTCTCTGTTGACACCCTCCCCTTGGCGCTCATATGACCTTATGCAGTTGCGAGCGTCGTAAAACCTTCTACTATTTTTAAAAAAAAAAAAAAACTAATCAAGATGGCGATCAGTGGTATCCTGTTATGCCGCTAGCCCCACTGTACCACCAACTTTATGCTCGTCTCAAGGTAGATGGTATAATGAGGTTTGACTGTACTGTGTATCAGGATGTTGTATGGGATAATTATACGATTTATTATGGGATAATTATACGATTTATTCAGTCCCTATTTCCTTTTTCCCTGTCATTATCAGACCGTGCCATTGGACAACATGCTGCGTGTGATCAGCACAATCGACTGCCAGCCCATGATGGATGGTGGAGTCATTGTCTCTGTTCTTGGACAGCTAAAGGTAACTATCTGCTAAGCTTGAAATGTCTTTTCATATTTTGGGGGGTTTAATTTGCTTGATTTCTTGAATGGGTCTCTTTATTTTGCTGCAGAAGTATCATTTATGCAGTTACTGTCACTCTGGGTTTTTTTTTTTGGGGGGGGGGGGGGTTCAATAATTGTGGGGATTTGATGCTTTCCCTGAAATCCTGGGAAAGGAAGATAATCCTTTAAGAATAATCATGATACGGTTTTAAAAAATAATTCTTTTAAATATAAATTCTTAACAAAATGATTCGGGGGAAACGCAACTTCAGTTGGAAAAGAATACTGGTTTCAGCAAGCCAGTTTCCGTCGTGGTACAGTACAGTAGCCTCCGCTTAAGATCCCGGTCCTCAGGAGCAAGGAAAATGTGGGACCTTAGGTGAACAGGATCTTGGCCAACGCACCACGGGAAGAATCTACGGTGACACATGTTCAGACACACAACCAGTAAAATGGTCTCTCTTCACTCAAAAAGATTAACTGAAGTGACTCCTGGGTGGGTTTATGATTTACGACGAGCAAAGAGTGATCAATCTTAATGGCAAATCACAGTGGATTGCGTCCAAAATTTATAGCTCTCCTTCTCTGACCGACTTCTCCCCGCCTTTGCCATTACGCTCCATTACGTTGTGATCACACCGGGGCCCACTGTAGAACACACCGATTAAAAAAAATTCTGTCTGTCTTGCAAATCCGTGAACACAAACAACTTCTGCAATGGTTAGGGAAGAGTTCACTATTCAATGTGATCCCGCCAGGAGCAAACATGTAGGCCCTACCCACCCAGCGATTGATGTAAGTTCAGTTAGAGAGCTCGGATGCGAGTGCAATGTTTGGGGAGAACAACGCGTCGGCGAGTTCACACCTACGTGTGATTCTGTCTGGGGCAAACATTGTACATGTACCATTTTATGATGACTTACAATGCACATGTGGTCACATTTTCGAGGGTGGTTGATCTGTGGTGCAACGGGTAGTTCAATTATCGTAAATTTTGATCTGAAATGCCGGATCTTAGCTGAATGCAGACCTTCAGAGTTGACCAGAGCAGCATCTTAAGGGTGACTTTTGTATGGTAAAAATTCTGTTTTCTTAATGAAAATGGCGGGATTGCTAGCGAACTGGGATCGTAAGCTGTGGGATCTTAGGTGGAGACTACCGTATGGGCAAATTATTTGTTTCTCTCATCATAGTTGTGACTATCGAGTTGTCATTCACTTCCCATCTATTTTGTCAATTAAAAAATAACCAACCCTTGACTCTGTTGTCACTTAAAAATATGATATTACAGTAGATCAAGAACTGAACTTTCTACATATCGTTATTTGATTGAGATCGCTTCACTGGCTGAATTTTTTTGCACTTTCAAAGTTTCCTTGGATTTGTCCAAGTTTCAACTCCACAACATTCTCCAACTCCATTTTGTCGTATTTACGTTAAAAGTTCACACAGGCATTATTACAGGGTCAATTTCTGCCGTTCGAAAACTTGAAGAAAGAAGAACGTCTATAACTTTTGCTTTATAGCCTCAGCACTAGTCAATTCTGATCTGACATTTATCTTAGGCCTTTTTAAAGGTATACGCATACCACAGCACTGCCGTAAGCTGAGAAAACACCTATTTTTCATTTTGGCACCAAAATTTTTTAATTGTTACCCTACTTACATGAAAAAAAATCAAATTTCGGAAGAACTCTATTTGTCAATGGTTACGCTGCCCGAAAAAAAAACCTCTTTTTCTCGAAACTTGCTGTAAATTAAAATAAAGGCGTTTTGTCTGCTTACGGCAGAGCAGTGTTGCTCGTTCTGGGATGGAAACACCTTTCAGCTCCGCTCTAGATGTGAACTGATGGGCTTCGAGCAACACCTCTCTAGGTGCTAAATGGTTTAAGTTCTCTTTATCACTATTTTTTCCGCAACTGTAGAAGGTCATATGAGCGCGCAGGAGAGTTGAAATATTTTCAGGTTGTCGGAAATTTTGAATTTTGGCAGGGTCGCGGCCGAAGCCTACTCTTATCGATTTTGCTCCACCAAGGGATCTTTAACGTGCGCAACTTGCACACGGGACCTTTCGCCGTTGTCCGAGAAGGCTAGGTGTAGATCTTACCTACCATAAGATCAGAGGTGTGGCTGAAAGAGAGCAGTAAGAAGGAGCCAAGTAGTAGCAGTAGAAAAGCTGCAGAGAGTCAGGAGCCCAGGGGAGGGGGCAAAGAAGAGGGGGAGCAGGCGACAACATTGCAAGAGAGCAGGAAAGGAGGTGAAAGGAGACAATTTTTGGGGCTCTCGTGGCCTAGAGGTTAAGGTGTTGACCTCTCATTCAAAGATCGCGGGTTCGATTCTGGGTAGTGACCGAAAAATTTTCTTCTCTAAAATTGTCTCCTTTCACCTTCTTTTCTTCTCTCTTGCAATTTTCTGTCATCTGCTTTCATCTCCACTTTCTTCCCCCACCCCCTCACCTCCTTCGCCCCCTCCACTGGACTCTTTCTGCAGCCTTTCTACTGCTACTCCTTGGGTCCTTCTTACTGCGGTCTTTCAGCCACACCCCTGATCTTCTAGTAGGAAAGATCTACACCTAGCCTTCTCGGACAAGGGCGAAAAATCTCAGAGGTCCGTGTGCAAGTTGCGCACGTTAAAGATCCCTTGGTGGTCTAAAATCAATAAGAGTAGGCTTCGGCCGCCCCCCCCCGGGCAAAATTAACAAATTTCCTACCAATTGAAAATGTTTTGTGTGTCCCGCGGGCTCATATGACCTTATGCAGTTGCGAACGCCGTAAAACACTTAACGGAGGAGCTACCCTTAAGGATCATTTTCTATGTTTGTTGCCCAAGATTAAATCTAAGTTAGGTATATAAAGTCTCTTCATACACAATTTTATTTTGGCATAGCTACTGCAGTTGCAATGGAAACGGCCGCCATCTTGAAAATATACAATGAATTTCAAATCCCTAAGGCTATCTTATTTACTGACCAAATTTGATGAGAGTATACTTGAACCAGACCCTATCAGAGTAACAGCAAGTTTTTTTCAATAAGTGCAAAAGAAAAAAAATTAAGAATTTTCCCCTAGTACAAAATTTTTTTTCTAAATTTAGGTTTCGTAATGGCTTGCAAATGGAAAAGTGTTTGGGTTTTTTTTCAAATATCTCTCTGTTCCATTGATGGCAGCATTGCCATCTATGTTTCCGGAAAGTTTCATGTCAAAAGGATGAAAACTAAGGAAGGAGTAGGGAAAAAAATGCACAAAAAATACATTTTGTGAAAAACGACAATTATTGTGAAAATTCATTATATTAACCCTTCCTCATGTTTTCAAGGGCAATTTACGAGGAGAATATAGACTTTCTCAATTGTCTCCATGCTATTTTTAGACCCAAAAAAACTGGTTGATCTTCAAAATTCAGCCAACATAAAATTCACTTTAAAATCCACCTCTTGAGCTTTTCAGTGCTGTGTGCCTGGGGGCTTCAAAGCCCGGCCCGGAGTACAATATAAAATATATTGCAGTTGCATTTCTTGTCTTTGTGTGCTAAAATGTACCCTCTTATGCTTTCATTTATTTTTTCTATGGAAATGATATACAATTGAGTCAGCTTTTAAACTGAAATCTGAGGACACGCCAGATTTTCAATTTTGAGAGATCGCTTAAATCTAAGAAGAAAAAGATGGGGAATTTTACTTTCTTTCAATTTATTGCTATTTTTGGATTAATCATATTCAGTTTAAACATACTCCACTGTATTTTTGTTCAGTACAGTATAATCTGCTTATATCGACATGCTTTGGGAAGTAGATTTGATGTCGATAAATGAAAATATAAAGCCAAAGAGGAAAAAACAAGGGGAAGTCAGCGATAAAAAAACAACACTACTTTTTCAAGCTTGTTGCTTCCCTTGATTCTTACACACTGTGTAGGCCCAAATATATGACCTACTAAAGCCTGGTGTGTCATATAGACTACTTGGTGGGTATGTGGACTTAATGAAGAATTAATGCGTTGACCGTTAGCGTGGCTTTTCCCCCCTTTTATGTTCATGGGCTTCACTAAGTACCCGGGAAGCATTTTGATAAAGCAGAGTGGGCCCAAAGACAAGTAAAAATATAAGAGAAATTGTTTAGTGAAGATATTGAAGGAAAAATTTTGTAATTGGAAAATAATAATATGTCAAAATGTCGATACTTACGCTGTCGATACAAGTGGATTATACTGTATCTTCATGACTTCTTTATACCTTTACAGCAAGAATGATTTCCTTCATGGTTCTATTGCAATACAGTGGAACTGGGATTCAACGAGGTGGCCGGGCCTGACCTAAAATCTCGTTGAATCCGAGTGTTCGTTATAGCAAACACGAGGTTTTGTGTAGACAATTACAGGCACTGAGCAAGTAATGTACAAAGAAGTCTCAAGTAGTGCCTGAAATGCCTGCATATTATGAACTGTGTTAAAAAAAAAAAAGACCCGATTCGTTCAAATGCACACGCCTTTGTCATATCGATTGTTTACCAAAAAGTTGTGTTGCTATGTAGAGTCTAGCATAACGGCAACTTCTGATTTCATAGACCAGCGCATAATTCATCATTACGTAGATCTACGTCAGGACTAGATCTAGCTTATCATTGTAATAATGATCAGTTGCGGAGGGGGAAAAAGACTGTGACGCGTTTCTGTGACGTTCAATGCCCGGACCGCTAGCGCCCCCCCTCCCCGACACACACACACAGTCATATGTGTGCAGGCCGCCCATCCGACCCCGACACACGCCAGAGTAGACTCGTGCGCGAGCCAACAACGCATGTGTGGGTATGAAAAAAGGCCGCTGATTGGTCGCATGCAATCGGCTAAGTGAATAATGGTTCACGATGCTGGTGCAATGGATGGTTTCCGTGAAAAGATAAAGTTCGTTCTGGGAGAAAAATGAGCGAAGCCACGTCTGCGTGGGCTTTTCACCCTGGAAGCGACCTCGTTGAATCCGAGCTCGCTGATTTAAGTGCTCGTTGAATCCGGGTTATTTTTATTGATTTTAAAGAAGAAAAAAAGTGGGGAATCTATCTCATCTCGTTGAATCCGAGCTCGTTAAATCCGAGTTCCACTGTAGTACTGTTTGTAAAGCGTGAGTGCTGTCTCACTTATAGTGTGGTAAAAAATTCATGGCGCAACATAAGTTATTTTCAAGTGTCTCCTCAACTATCAAACACAGACTCTCCGACTTATGCAATATGACTTGTAATGTATCAATCTGTCTCCACAGATTAATATTTTTGTAAACTGTAAACACCTATTCGCTGTATTCTAAAAGATTCCTTTAATACAAATAAGTTTTTTTGTTAGTAGGTGATCTTTTGGTCTTCTTCTGTTCTTCTGGGCACCATCTCAGTAAGTACTTTTAGATAAAAGTCTATTCCTAGTATTTTGTGCAATTGGTAATTTATTTTTTTAAATTGGAAACGTCCATAACTTCTCCAGTATATCTTAAAGAATCATGTACTGTACGTTATGTTTTGATTTTTTTTTTTCTTCCACAGAACAACGATGACAATGACAAGGTGTTGCCGTTCAGCCAAACCTTTGTATTGAAACCAGCAAATAACTCTTTTTTTATATATCATGACATCTTTCGGTTGGTTTTGCATAATTTGTAGGGAACGATGTACTGTACTGCTTGTGTTATTCTAATTCTCCTTGAAACACGTCAAAAATTGCTTCTATAGGGAAATAAATGGAAAAGATGATTCTGTAGCTTATTGTGTACATTGCTGAGCTAGCTAATATTTTAGTTTCAAATTTTGGACTCTTGCGCAAAGAAGAGGTCTCCTGTGTATTGTCCGTCTTTTGCTTTAATTTTAAACCCACACATGGATGACCCTGGTGATTTTCCGTGAAAGTATGTTGCTTCAACCCATCACTTGAAATTGTGTCTTTTTTTTTTTTATACCTGCTGCGATTTTTATATTGGGTCTTGATATTGCTGCTCTTTTTTATCTGTTACTGTTATGCATGATGTTATCTGGATTTTTTTATTTAAACAATTTTTTTTTTGTTGTTGAGATTAGTGATGACTTTTGTTGTGTGCCTCCAGTCTTATTAATCTGTTTGTTTGTTACTAGTATTATGTTTATTGTTTTGTCACTGTTGGGAAGATACAGAATGAATTGTAGCTGTTGGAGGAAGATGAGAGGGGTTGAGGGGAGGGAGGGGGGGGGGGGGGGGGGTTATAAGTCTGTGGTCACCCATTGCCTCTCCTTACTTACAGATGAGGCAAATGGATTTTCTCACTCTGCTGAATCTGTTCAGTTAGAAGTTCTGGCATAGATCTACTGCTATTTAAATTCACAGCTATCAATCTTACAGTGAAGTTCATATGGAAGAAAGAAGTACAAACACTTGTAAGTGAATGTTTTTAGCGTGCGGTGCGCACTTGCTTAAAGATTTCTATTATTGTTGAACCTATGGAGCTTGTGCTGTCTTGACCTGCATTGTTTGGTAACTTTTTCACTGTGCTGTCGTTTCATGATAATGATATAAGAAACTGAAGCTTCCCCTGCTCCACCTGTACTTACCTTCCAGGTGAGCGTGTCGGCTTTTCCACGATTTTGTTTCATCAAATAAATAAAACAATTATGATCCATCATTGACGAGTTCTGCTTTTATCTTTAAGGATTATGTCTAGGCCTCTCTCTCTCTCTCTCTTCTGGCGCTGTGGCTTCATAAACGGTCAGCGATGCCGACAGCACGCAGGAACTCAACTCACCCGGGGGTCCTTAAAAAGTGCTGAAAGTGGGTTACTGAAATGTCCCAGCAGACGGGTATGTCCAGGCCTAGAAGTGGAAGTGGGATGTGAAGGGAAAACGAGGACATATTTGTAAAAGGTGTGTGTTTTTTGTTTATTTACTGTCCCCCAGCAGATCCGATAGCACTTTGAAACAATGTCGACTTCCTGGGAAGCCGACAGTCTCTGATAGCACTCTGAAACAATCTCAACTTCCTGCACATAGAACTTGCTGTTTAGCAGGAATTTGAGGTATAACAAAGACTATCTATGATTATGAATGAAAAAGAAAAATTTTACTGTGTGTGCATGTACATGATACATAATTTTTGTACTACTTTACTTTTTGAATTTCCCATGGCAAGGCAAAGCATGCTGGAAAAGAGAAATTGGCTTCATCCATTAGTAATTAGTGGCCCTGGCCACATATCCACCGTAAATATAACATATGTGCCTATACTGTCTGTAATTTTGGATAAAGTTGTTAAGGAGAAATAGCAAGCCATGTATAAATTTACAAATTAAAATTTTAGTGTTCATATCATAGCCTATATCATTGCATGTGTAGGACACATGCATGGGAGCAAAATGCAGGTAGACTTGAGACTATTGAGAGCTAAAATTACGGTAAAAATCATATGTTCATCTGCCGATATGATGCACCAACTTTTACATGGCAAGCACTTCAAGCAGTCATTTTTTTCGGTGGATTTGTTCATTAGTTACAGGAACTTGGAAATAACTCAGATAAATCGAATCCGCATTGTTGGGATTTTTTTCTCTATAAAAGTGCAAGTAATATGAACCTGGCTACAACAGGGTTCAATTTGCGCAGACTATGACAGTGATCTTGCTGCGCATGAACTTGCTTTCGATCTGTCAAATTATTAAAATTTGTCTCGACCAAGACATTTCCCCTTCTGTTTGTATTGAATGATCGCTTGGTTAAACACAAACTTTCCAACATAAACTCTCTCCTTCCACACACACCCCCATGGTGTTGGGGTCACTGATCGATTCCATCTCAGTGTCAGCAGAACAGCCCACTGAAAAAGGATCTGCGGTACCGTAATCGAAAATATATTGAACTGAAAGTGCAATAGTACTGGTAGTTTCCCTTGATGACGGTGACGGTAAAACAGGACTTGTTTATACAGGGTGATAAAAAAAAAACTGTAGGCCTACAACTTTTTTTCTGAATATCTCGCACAAAAGCTGTTCTAAAATGCTGTAATTTGGAATAGGCATAATTCATTTAAAAGGAATTTGTTTGACGTAAAATCCATGAAGAAGAAACTTATTTTGAAAACGGAAATGACTTTAATAAGAAAAAAGCCCCCAAAAAGGCAAAATTCACCCATTTTTTTAAAAATCTTGTAAAAGAAGTCGTGAAAAGATAAGTTTGATTTTTTTTTAATTTTCTCTTTGACTTTTAATTTTCCGTCCCTGTGACATTTAAACAATATTTAATTTCTTCTACAGAGTTTTTAAAAATAACGAAATTCCGACAAGGTTGAAAATGAGTTGTTTTTTTAATGCCCAGCAAAATCATTTTATGGACTTATCTAAAAAAAAAAAATGAACACCAAATTCCTTTGGGCTTCCAAATGTTATGTTCAAATCTGAAACGCAAAACTTCAGTATGGAGGAAGATATAAAACAAGGCTACAGTTGTTGTTTTTTTATCACCCTGTAGCCTACATGTAACAGGGGAAAACTTTCGGTCCCGTCTGCCCTATTGTATCCGAGTTTAACTGTAGATGATTTACTCAGTGTGCACAGTATGCTGTACTGTAAATATTTTTGTTTAATTTCTAATGATTTGTAGACGTTTTACTTCTGGTCATGTGAAAAAAGTAATCACTCTCAACACAGTAGTCTCCATTTAACAAACACACTGGCTGGTGGCTATCTCTGAAGCTTTACCTTTACCTTTTCCAGTGTAAACTTGCCATGAGCTACAGTTGTGGCCTCTAGATTGAAACAGTTTTCAGTATACAGTGGAAACCTGATATAACAGGGATGGTGGGAGTAGAGAAAATGTCCTGTGATATCCGATCCCTGTTAAATCAGAAATGCAAGGAAAGTAAGCATTTGTGGAATAATCCAGCAGTACTTATTCATGGGTAGTTGCCCTTGCCACAAGTACCCACGAACAGGGGTTTTGGCACCAACTTTCTCCTTGCCTCCTTAAACCTCATCAGAAGAGCTTGGTCCACAGCATCTGCATCGGGTAGTCTCATCTTCTTTCGATCCAGAGCAAACTTTCCATTGGAGTATGCTGCCACTATCTTCTCTCTATCCTTGATAATAGTGTGAATCGACCCTTGTGGAATGTCGAACTGACGACGAATCTCTGCCAGTGGAGCTTGCTTTTTGTCAACAGCCTGGAGTATTTCGTATTTTTTGCCAATTGAAAGGCATTTTCTCTTGCGCTTGACATCGGTGGTGACACATTACGCGTGCGTGTTGCTAGGTTTCGGGCTTGATCGAGGTCTGCTGCACACCGTAGCCCTCTCTCGCTTCACACGCTGCGTGAGCTCGCAGTGGCATGGCTTGCATGGGCTTGCTCCATCACTGCGTCACTCTATCTCTCTCTCTCTTACTTTTTACACATTGTTAACGAGCCTTTGTCCCTGCTATAACCGGTTGGGCTCCGATGAGGCCCTGTTATTGCCGATAACTTTTAATAGAGACAAAGAGTAGAAAAAAACGGGGATTTTAAAAATCCCTGTTATTACCGGATTTCTGTTATTACCGGGCCTGTTATATATATGGTTTCCACTGTAGTATGTATGAGCTCTAAAGTTTAGAGGTTTGGGTGCTTCGAAATGCATGAGTGGAAAGGGTTGGAAGTTTCATAAGTTTACGAACAGACTGCTCATCTAAATCATATAATCCGGTCTTACTACAAATGTAGGCCTACGTAAGCCATTTAATTAAGAAACCTCGCTGTGGTAAGTGCTCTGAAGTACATTCCCTGCATATCTTTTCAAACTTGTTATTGTAATGTATCATCCCTTTGTCTAAGCTGTCTGTGTTGTATTGTCGTTTAAGTGAAAGATCATATATAGATTATGCTTCTTGTTTAACTCACTCTTCCTGAACTTATGTTGATTTTCCATTTACTCGTTACATTGTAGGCTACAACAGTCTGCATTTTTTATATTGGCCATTTTTATCGCAGCGAGATGCTCAATGTGCGCTGCATTTTTTAAGTCAAGGCAAGCATAAGGACAAATGGTACATTGCACTGTCTGAAGTCAAGCCTCGTTATACCCCATTAAGCATAGTAGGCTACTACTGTTCTAGTACCGGTAAGCCTTTTCACTGCCGTCCGCCAAATATCCGAGTTGTACAGTCCTTGTTACTCTAATTCTATTTGCCCCGCTATACCGCAAGTGAGGTTGCGGTGGCGGAGCGGTTAGTCAGTTAGTGCGCTCGTCTCGGAAGCAGAAAGTCCAGGTTCGAGCCTCGGTTCGGATCTCCCCTCCCCCCCCCACCCCCTCCCATCTGCCCTCTCTGCAGTACCGGTAATGGGTACCTGACTTCGAGCTGGGGACGTAAAGGCGGTGTGGAAAGGAACTGGCCTCCCTACCACCACAATATTATGACGACATACGCTCGTGGGCTGTTTGGTAATGTCTCTCATTCTCACACGCCACTTCCGCCCGCCAGCAAAAATTTAGCGTCGAAATCAATCTGATCTCGGGCGCCCCAGGCGCTTTTATTTTGTGAGAACTCGTGCTCAACTCTAGACAGTACAGGACTGAGGCGCCCGAAGATTTAAAAAAAACAACAAGAAAAACTGTAGGCCCACGTCTACAGGGATCCCGATACACAGTTAAAGTTAAAGCCAAGCTTCTGATTAATCTGATCAGGCAAAAGTTTTCAATTTGAATTCACGTTAAGTTCAACTTGAGTTTGAATTTACACACACACACACACACACACACACACACACACACACACACACACACACACTCACAAACACACACACACACACACACACACATACAGAGAGAGAGAGAGAGAGAGAACATTCCTAGGTTTCAATACATGATGTCCTACATGTAGGCCTATGTAGATGTAGCTACTCGTAATTCTCCAAATTAAAAAATTACAGAGATTTTCCAAACACACTTTTTTGGGCGTCCTGTGCCCTGATACCGTGTACTGATACATGTACCGGTATTAAGGGGGGGGTTTACACCTGAAGGCTATCTCGCTTTGTTGTGGACCGAATTTTACCATATTTCACACAAGTAACAAGCATGGTACGGAGTCTTAAAATCCGCAATCAAATTTGAGAAAAAAGTTTCGTTTGCATGGATACGGCGGCCATATTGGATTTTGGTGACATATATTACGTTATGACGTAATGAATACCGCATTTATCGTTCATGGAAATTTATTGGGGGGTTTTTTGCTTGCTTGTTAGCAAACATGAGATCTAAAAATTTGTCTGTTGATTTTTTTTCTAAACGAATTAGAACGTTTTAATGAACTTTTTCCTGAGGTAGTACGCCTACTCAAGTTTGCAAAAAAAATCCGCGAAAATCCACACTCCAGACACCACCAACAAAAAACTATTCCATGTATCAAAAAGTTCAACAGAATTTTTTTAGTAATAGAGTCTACATCTTCTCTTCATTCTGTGAAAAGTTCATGAAGATTGGATAAAAAATGGTGGATTTTAAAAAGTAGAACGTTCGTTTAGAAAAATCGCGTTTTGAGAAAACGGCCGATAAAGAAAAATAAAATATTGACTTTATGAGGAATTAGTGGAGACAAACATGCCCGGTATGGGAAGAAAAAAGAGTTTGAGGGTTCTTATGCAATGAAATAGTTGTAGGAGAGGCTGAGGAAGCTAAAAATGCCTGCAACTCAGATGCCATAATTTTGAGCCGAATCGTGACTTTGGGAGTGTAGCGCCCCCTCCCCCCCCCCCTTAAGTTAAAGTAAGTTACATAAAAATGTGCCGACATGGTACAAATTGTATGCTTCAAGAAAAACTAATAAAAGAAAAGGGGGGTTGCTTAGTCTCTGATGGTGATGATGATGACAATGATAATGTCAACAAAGATGATGCTAAAATGTTGGAAATTATGTGTAGAATACAACAAGCATTAATCTTAATCTTGGTAAACGTATTTGTTTATTCCTTCCTGTGTTGCTTACTTTCGATCCCCCTGCAACCAGAATTAGGAAATAAATCGTCATTTGGAAATAAGCCGTACATTCTAAGATATTGTTTATGTGTGTTGCCTTCTATGATATCAGAATTTCAAATTAGTGAAAATAGTGTCACCAGTAACCTTTTTAGATCTATTACATGTACTACATGTACTATTTTCTTGGTCTATGCAACTCTATGTTCTGCAAAAAAATATTAACATTTCTTGGCTGGCTTGTGCTGTCCCCGTAGAATTATGCAAATTTAGAAGGCCAAATTATGCACAAAAAAAGCAAAATTATGCAAAAATTATGCAAGTTATCATAACACCATTCGCGACATATGTTTTGCACTTTTTCAACACGAATGTTCATGATTTTCATGTTTTATGTACAGAAAAGTTGAATACAGAACGTATCAGTATCAGTAATTTGCTGTGTATTTTGAAAAGAAAACAATACACATCAGTAAAAAAAGACTCAAAAAATATAATCTCTGTAACTTTCAGCTGTAGATCTATCTCTAGATTCTAGATAGAGATCTATAGAGGAAAGAAAAATGTTTCTAAAAAAATAAATTTTAAAAAGAACATCTAGACCTCTGATGCTGGCACATTACTAAAACCAGGGACACCTGTCAAACATGAAACATCAGCAGACATGAGAACAACAACTTTTGATGGATTGAAAAATTCAACATGCTCAAGGAACAAGATGACAACCCATTTATAACCAAGATCTTCTAATAAGGGAAATAACCAACTTTTCCCTTAAATGAGACTTATTATGGTGATTACGTCCCTTTAGTCACACGGCGATGTGTTAATTAATTGAAATAATTGTTTTGTGAAAAAAAAGGAAAAAACGCGGAGAATCCAAATTTATGCAAATGTTGCATATTACGCGAAAAAACGCATCCACACCGCGGCCGCACAATCGCATAATCCTACGGGGACAGCTTGTGTTCTTACAAGTTATCGCTGTCTGCTTTCGTCACAGGTCGCGGCACATCTTTGTTGATCGTCAGAGCTTGTAAAAAGCCCCGAAAAACCATGCCCAGTCGACCAGAGAATCACTTGTACAGGTACAAGGTCCCCTTTTCTTAAAGTTAATAGCAGCAAATTCATCACACACACACACACACACACACACACACACACACACACACACACACACACACACACATATACACCCACGTCCCACACACACACTCAAAATAGCTCAGCCTTACTTCTAGACATACACACAAACACTAACGCCTAGGCATAAACACGGACACACACAAACACACGTATACACCCCCCCCCCAAAAACAAAAAACAAACATACACACAAATACACCTACACATTCACAAACACCCATATTGACACGATCTGACTGACACGCACGCGCACACAAACACGTTCGTTCCTCGCAGTACACCTTTCAGCCGTACGTTTACAATTTCATGATCCAAAAAAACACGCTGTGCGCATATTATGGGAACCAAAGATCTCTGCCTGTTCACTACAACAGAATCTCTCCAGCTTACATTTGTGAGGCAGCGTGGTGGAATCAGGCTCTCGTCAACTTTTGGGCATGTACAGTTATTGATATCACCCTAAAGCTTGTCCACTTGTCTTTATTTGGATGAAAAAAACTATTCAGTTATCTTGAATACAAGTCGAGATATTTGTGAATGAAGGAGGTAGGGGTCACCCATTTTTAGA